CATCAGTTAGTTGCCTCCCATATGCGCCCCAACTGAGAACAGAACCCACAACCTAGGAATCAAATCCACAACCTTCTGGTGTACAGGATGATGCTCCAACCAACTGAGCCACCCAGCCTGGGCTGTGTGGTTTTTTTAAGATCTCTGTTTTATCTTTAAAAATAAAGGGTGCCCTAGATCAGTGGTCGGCAAACTGAGGCTCGCGAGCCACATGCGGCTCTTTGGCCCCTTGAGTGCCGCTCTTCCACAAAATACCGACTTCTGCGCACGGGCCACAAAGTTTCAATCGCACTGTACATGCGCGCCCACATGTGGTATTTTGTGGAAGAGCCACACTCAAGGGGCCAAAGAGCCGCATGTGGCTCACGAGCTGCAGTTTGCCGACCACTGCCCTAGATGGTTTGGCTTAGTGGATAGAACATCGACCTGTGACCAAAGGGTCCTGGGTTTAATTCCGGTCAAGGGCACATACGTTGGTTGCAGGCTCCTCTCCTGCCAGGGCCCTGGTCAGGGTTTGTGCAGGAGGCAACTAATCAATGTATTTCTCTTACATTGATGTTTCTCTGTGTCTTTCCCTTTCTCCTCTACTCTCCCTAAAAATCAATGGGAGGGGAGGGGAGGGGAGGGGAGGGGAGGGGAGGGGAGAGGAGGGGAGGGGAGGAAGGATGGATAAGACCTTGGCTAGATAGCTCAGTTGGTTAGAGCATTGTCCCTATATGGCAAAGTTGTGAGTTCAATCCCTGGTCAGGGTTCAAACAAGAAGCAACCAATGAATGCATAAATAAGTGGAACAACAAATCAGTGTTTCTATCTCTCTCTCTTCCTTCCTCTCTCTAGAATCAATAAATAAATAAATAAAATTTTTAAGGTAATGAGTATAAAAAATAAATATAATTTTTAAAAGTAAAAATAAAGGATAAATAGAAATAGTACATAAGATTTATAGAAGAAGGAGAAACTAAGATGGCGGCATAGGTAAACACCGGGAAATTGCCGCCTCCCACAACAATTGGAAATTACCGCAAAGGACAGAGCAGACATCATCTAGAACAACAGGAAGGCTGGCTGAGTGTAAATTCTACAACTAGAAGGAAAGAAAAGCACACTAAGAGCCAGAGGAGCTGTGGAGGTGAAGTGCAGAGGTACGGCGGCTCGCGCGGAAAGGGGGTGGCACCTGAGGACGCGGCTGTCTTTTTGAATCACAAGCTCCCAACTGCTCTGAACTCCGGTTCCGGGAAGTCTCTGGGGACCCAGGACTCATACGGGGAGAAGCTGGTCTGTCCAGCAGCGGGCGAACTTGAAGGCGGCTTTCCCTCAGAGGTGCTTGCAGCAATTAGCGGGTCACTGAGACCCGCAACTCCGGGCGGAGAATCAGCCATAGCTCCTTGATCCGCCCTTTGATTCCCTGAGACCCCGCCCGACCCAGGCTGCAGCAGAGGCTTTTGCATGTGAATGTACCTAACTGCAGCCGAGCCAGGCAGACCCGGAACTTCCAAGAGAAGGCCCAAGGCCCCGCAGCGGCTTGCATTGCTTCACAGCTGAGCCTCTTCGTGGCTCCTGCTGTGTGGCCTCAGGCAGAGACTGAATTAGCACCTCCTTAGAGATCCAAGAGCCAGTGTACCCAGTGGTCAGAGGGGGACCATCCAGATTGCAACTTCTCAGATCCATAAGGGACACACTCAGGGAGCAGACTCAGTGAGCACCAAAGCCCCACTGAAGCAAGTCTTGCCCCAGAAGGGTGTCTTCAGCACAGAAGTTCTCCCACTTCAGACACAGCTGATTCTCACAGCCAATTGGCCTGGAGGTCAATTCCTCCCAGTGATCCTACAACAACCAAGGCACCAAGAGTGCATCAAGAGTGTCCACCCCAGGTAACTGGGGAGGCTGAGCCACTGGGCCCTACAGGACACCTGGCGCGCAGGGCCACTCTATCAACACAGGGAAGCAGCCAAAATGCGGAGACAAAGAAACAGGTCACAAATGGCAGAAATGGAGGAAAGCAAACGACTGGATATAGAGTTCAAGGCCACGTTTATAAGGTTTTTCAAGAATTTTATGGAAACCGCCGATAAATTTAATGAATCCCTCAATAAATATAGTGAGACCATGGAGGACATGAAAAAGGACCAACTAGAAATTAAGCATACACTGACTGAAATAAAGAATAATTTACAGAGATCCAACAGCAGACAAGAGGATCCCAAGAATCAAGTCAAAGATTTGAAATACAAAGAAACAAAAAATACCCAACCGAAAAAGAAAAAAGAAAAGAGATTCCAAAAATATGAAGATAGTGTAAGGAACCTCTGGGACAACTTCAAGCGTACCAACATCAGAATTATAGGGGTACCAGAAGGAGAGAGAGGGCAAGATATTGAAAACCTTTTTGAAGAAATAATGACAGAAAACTTCCCCTACCTGGTGAAAGAAATGGACTTACGAGTCCAGGAAGCGCAGAGAACCCCAAACAAAAGGAATCCAAAGAGGACCACACCAAGACACATCATAATTAAAATGCCAAGAGCAAAAGATAAAGAGAGAATCTTAAAAGCAGCAAGAGAAAGACAGTCAGTTACCTACAAGGGAGTACCCATACGACTGTCAGCTGATTTCTCAACAGAAACCATGCAGGCCAGAAGAGAGTGGCAAGAAATATTCAAAGTGATGAATAGCAAGAACCTGCAACCAAGATTACTTTATCCAGCAAAGCTATCATTCAGAATAGAAGGTCAGATAAAGAGCTTCACGGATAAGAAAAAGCTAAAGGAGTTCATCACCACCAAACCAGCATTATATGAAATGCTGAAAGGTATTCTTTAAGAAGAGGAAGAAGAAAAAGGAACTCTTACCATTTGCCACAGCAGGGATGGAACTGGAGAGCGGATAAAATACCACAGGATCTCACTCATTTGTGGAATATAATGAACAACATAAACTGATGAACAAGGACTGATCCAGAGACAGAGAGGCATTGATTGGACTGTCGGGCCTTGGAGGGAAGGTAGGGGAGGGTGGGGGTAAGGGGGAAAGATCAACCAAAGGACTTATATGCAAGCATATAGGCCTAATCAATGGACATGGACAACGGGGGGGTGAGGGCATGAGCGGGGGGGGGTGGGGGGTAGAGGATAACGTGGGGACAAGGACACATATGTAATATCTTAATCAATAAAAAATATATTAAAAAAAAAAAGATTTATAGAAGAAGAGAGAGAATGTGATAGAGGCAATTCTTAAACCTGTACTGGCTGAGAATTTTCCAGAATTAATAAAAAGGACCTAAAAAGATCTATCTACAGATATTGTTGTTGAGGAGATAAATATACACATATAAAAATACAATATAAGAATAAGATTTATATTTTAATTACATACAGAATTATACAATCAATCAATAAATAAAATTTATATTTATATATAAATATAATAAATAAGTAACAGGTAGATACAAAGAAAATGAACTGAAAAAACATAAAAAAAACCTGATAATATGGGTGAGAGAGAGTAGTACTGGCAGTGGGGAAGTGATCAAAAAGACTTTAGTTTTACCTTTAATATTACAACTTTTTTTCAAGGAGAACATATCCTATCCTATATAATAAAGAGGTAATATACAAACTAACCCTCACACCCTCATAAGATGGCTGCCTACAACCAGGCCGGCAGGGGGTTAATGAGGGACGACCAAACGACTGAACAAGCAGGCTGCGTGGGGCAACCAGGTCGGCAGGGGGGTTAGTGAGGGACGACCAAACGACTGAACAGCAGGCTGCGTGGGGCGACCAGGCCAACGGGGGAGCCATGAGGGGCGACCAGTCCAGCAAGGGGGGGGGGAGGTAGGGGCAACCAGGCCGGCAAAGGGGGGCAGTTGGGGGCAACCAGGCCAGCAGGGAGGGCAGTAAGGGGTGACCAGGCTGGCAAGGGGGGACAGTTAGGAGCGACCAGGTCGGCAGGGAGGGGGCAGTTGGGGGCGACCTGGCTGGTAGCGGGGGGCAGTTAGGGGCGACCAGACAGGCAGGCAAGCGATTAGGAGCCAGCAGTCCAGGATTGTGAGAAGGATCCTGGATTGGAGAGGGTGCAGGCTGGGCTGAGGGGATCCCCGCCACCCCCCCCCCCATGAATTTCGTGCACCGGGCCTCTAGTTTACATATAAAATTTTAACGTTATTTAAAAACTTTCTTGTTAAGTGAGAAAAGTGCTAGTAATAGAAGCATCAGATCCAGGAAAGCAAAAGAATTTAAACAGTCAATAGGCTAAATCAATACTTATTCCAAAGGTTATTTTTTCCAATTCTGAATTAGGCCACTGAAAACACAAGTTCTCTAGGACAGACATTCCTAGTAGTAGGATATTTTCAGGAGGGAAAAAAAGTAGAATACAATTCTTTCTCCATCAGTTATCTAATTTGCAAGGAGTACTTAGAACAGCTTTAGAGAATGAAAACATCTCCACAGATTTATTCTTAGAAAATAAAAACATCTTCAACACAAATAAAAAAGCACTAAATGACACAAACAGCTTCCACAGAAGGCTCTCTGAGGTACACAGGCTACTGCTACAGGACCTTTGCTCTTGTTGTTCTCCCAAGTGGTCACATGCCTCTCATCCCCTCACTTCCTGCAGTTCTCTGCTTCAAAGTCAAGTCCTCAAAGAGCCCTCCTTGACCACTCTCCTCTCTAGAATAGCAAGTAGCCTTGATCTCCTTTTCACCTACTCTGCTTCATTTTTCTTCTGAGAGGTACTGCTACTTGGCATGTCTTATACTGATGTTTATGGGTTTACTTTCCCACTCAAATGTGAGCTCCATGAGGGCATGACTTTTGTCCGTTTCCTTCCTAGTTGTGTCCCCAGCACCAAGAACAGTACCTGGCACATTGCTGGAGTCCACTTGAAGGAATAAGGCATCCTTTGAAGGAATGGCTAAATGGGATCACCAAACTCTGCAGAAGCTTTCTTCAAATGGGGGCTGAACAAAGGCTGGGGAGGGGAAAGGGACTCACCTCCACATTCCAGACGTAGGAGCTGTGGAAGAGCTCCGACCACACCTTGCCTACTTTGTTGATATCTTTGACATCCCAGATATAGATGCTGTGGTCCTTATACACACAGGATAGCCATTGGTGGCTGGGGTCAAAGGTCAGTGCCACCGTATCCGGATAGACTGCTTCTGCCTTCCTGCAGAAGAGGAAGCTAACAAGGCAACATGGGTCATCAATCACCATCAGTGTCACTGTGGGTAGTGACAGCTGCCTGTGGTGACACGGTGACACTTGAGTTATCTCATGTCAGTGCCACGGTTGTCCATTTCTCCCACTCCAACTCCACTTCTCCATCCTCTCTCTTCCTCTGCTCTGTTTCTAACACAGAGGTTGTAAAGTGAAAGCTTCCACTTGGCCCTTGAGAACATTTGAATTTCAACCCCTGTTAACATTTCTCTCCACTCATTTCACCCAACCTAAGCTCTGTCCTCTCTCATGGAAGGATAACGGGCACATGCCTCAGGCCTTCTCTCTCATGGGCTCCACCAACACATGACCAAACATCTCTGTGCAAGGGAGCAGAGTTGTTGTCCTCTGATCTGGGGCCTCCCTACAGTTTATTGAGCACCTGCTGTGTTCCAAAAGCTTTAGCTGCACTGAATCTCCACAACCTCCATGATAGGTAGGTACTATATTTTATAGATAAAGAAACTGAAGCACAAGTTGATACAGTGACCTACCTGAGGCCACACAGCACAAAGCAGAAGCTGGCAGAGCTGGGCAGCCTGGCTGCTACAACACACCACTGTCTGTGAGTTGCTGACCCACCCTCTTTCCTTTGAGACACCCAATAGCCCCCTCAAGGCTATTAGAAAAGGCACTCCAGAGGCAGTGTCCAGTAATCTACAGAGAGGTCACCCCAAGTACCCAGCACTTCTGGTTAGGTAGCTCCTCTGCCCCCACAAAATGACTTACAACAAAGGGAAAATATGTCATAGCTCAGCTTTTCCACCCATTCTTCACATGGCAGCCAGAGTGATCTAATGCTCCAGGCCTGATCACATAATGCTAATGCCTGAAATCCCCAGTAGCTGCCCATGGACCTCAGAATAGACTATAAGCTCCTTCTACCAGCCTCCATCCATTCTCAGACCTATCTCCTATTATTCTCCTCCCCTGGGCACACTGGGCTCCAACCACACAGCCGCTCAGTATTCCTGCAACACACCAGGCCCAGTGTGCTAGTCCCTTAAGGCCTTTCCACTTGCTGTCAGGACCCAGTTCTCCACACAGCTGGCTCCTTCTCACTAGAAGCTTACCCTGGCCACCCAAATATGAGTCCCTATTTTATTTCACCAAAGCACTTATGACTATCTGAAATGATCTTATTTAATTGTTTACCATCAAGCTCTCTCACTAGACTGAAGACTTCACAGTGGCAGAGATTTTGCTGCCTCATTATAGCTGTATCCTGCTTCCTGCCTAGGGCTGGCTAGTATGGAGATGGATCTAAAAGTATGGATGTATACCAATAGACAGACTCTGGGCGGGCCCCTTTCCCTTCCCTCAGGTAGTACCTGGGCTCCAGGCCCTGGGCCACATCCACTCCAAGGTAGTGTGGCTTGGGTAGGTTGGCGAGGTAATGTAGGTTGTGGGCCTGGAAAATGCGAACTATCCCATCTGTACAACCGCAGAAGATGAGCTCCTGGCTGACACAGAGGCAGGAAGACAGGGAGACCTGTGGGGGAAAAGGGGACCCAAGTGAACTTTGTGCTTTGTATGGCCCAATTCAGGGACATGGGGACTGACAGAACTTGGGCCTCCAGAGAAGCCTTATAGTTTCCTGGGTTTAAGAAGCCCATTTTAGCAAATTTTACGATTTTTGAAATCAGGATATAGCGTAAGATCACTATTGAAGGAAATGTGCCAGCAGGTAGACTGGGATAGAGTTATCATTGCTACCTACAGAAGAACTCAGCTGTGGGTGGAAAATATCTGTTCAGCAGACTGTGACTAAAGATAGGTCACTTGCAGTAACAGGGTTGAGTTTTAGGCTTAAATTTTATTTCCTATTGTTTAAAAACAACTTCATAGAGATTATACTTCAAAGCAGCATAGAAAAAGTTACTGTATACAGGAAGGACTGTATCCTGCCAGGACATATAGATAGAGTCAGGAAATGCCCGAACTCTGGACACAGATTAGAGGAGTTTCTACAAATTCACAGGGACTTAATTTATGAGTCACTTATGACAACTACTCAGGGGCTACACATCTATCTGTCAAAAGCTTCTGACTTGCTTAAAAGCTGCATGAGTTCTAAAATGAGGATTCAAACGAAAAGTGGTTCTGCAATTTACTGATATATCATCTTTTAGTTTAAAATGTTGTTTTGATATAGACTTTTTTGACTGAAAATGATTAAGTCAATGATACTTTATATATATATTTAAAAAAATTCAGGCCCAGCCAATGTGGCTCTGTAATTGAGTGTCGATCCATGAACCAGGAGGTCACAGTTGATTCTCGGTCAGGGCGCATGTCCAAGTTGTGGGCTTGATTCCCGGTGCGGGATGTGCAGGAGGCAGCTGATTGATAATTCTCTCTCATCAATGATCTTTCTCTCCCTCTTCCTTCCTCTCTCTGAAATCAATAAAAATCTATTTTAAACATTTAAAAATGCAGTTGTCCTACTAGCCAAGAGTGCTCAATGAAGAGAAATGAGAACTGAATCAAAAGGTGAGTAAAGCAATTGTAACCTGACGCCGTTTCAGGGGACTAGCACTGTGCTGAATGCCATTACCTATATTATCTCATCAACTCTGTGAGGTATACAGCAGTATTTCCATTTTACAGATGAGGAAACTGAGGCTCAGGTAGGGCAAGTCATTTACCAGAATAATACAAGCAGAACTTATAAGGTCAAACCCAGAGCTGGACCCTGCCTGGTGTGCTCCGTAGTTAGAGTGTTGGTCCACAGATTGAAGGGTCAGAGGTTCAATTCCTGGTCAAGGGCACATACCTGAGTTGCAAGTTCCATCTCAGAGAACATTGATGTTCTCTCCCGCTCCTCCCACCTCCCCCAATCTCTTTTAAAAATCAATGGGAAAAATATCCTCGGGTGAGGATTAACAAACCCAGAGCTAGTGTGATCAACCACCAGGCAGAAACACTGCTGAGTGTCCCAGGAGATCATGTCATGGAAAAAGTGTTTCCCCCATTGATAGCAGAGAGGTGGGGTACCTTCAGATTGATCCACTTCTCCAGCACCCTCTTCTCGTTGAACTGGCAGAGGAGGCCCGAGTAGGACACACAGAAGGTGTTGCCTGCCATCTGGCCCCGGCCACAAGCCACACCACAGAAGACATTGTTGTGCAGCTCACCCAGGATGCCTGAGCGCCCTATGAGGGGCACTGTCCCCGTCACCTGGAGGCATAGCAGGGCACAGTAAGACATTGTTCACATAACCTCTACTCTAACAACGGCATGACGGGTCTCTCATGACCAGAGGAACAACACAACTACACAGGAGGACCCTAAGAAACTCCTCCAAGAGGAGGAGAAGGAAAGAAAAACAGAGAACACACTTCCAGGCAGAGTGGCTGGAAGGCAGTAGCCCCGGAAAAAGGCGTGGCCCAGGGCGAGGAAGGGAGTGCAGTGGGGAGATTCCTAGCAGGGCTTGCCAGTTAGCACTGGAGAGCAGGCCAGAGGCAGAGACAGGCTTGAGAGGCCAGACAGCCCTGTGTCTCAGGAAGAAACAGGAGTCCATTCTGCCCCTGACAGTTACTCCCCAGGCCTGGCTGAGGTGGCAGGGACAAAACTCACCTTTGCTTCAGTGGAGACTTCCAAGAACCAGAACCTAACATGCCGGTTACCAACAGTAACAAAATAGCTGCTGTCCTCTGAGAAAGAGAGGGCGATGACCCTGCATGATACCTTGTTGGAGGCCACCACAATATCTTTCTGGAAGAATCAGTACAGAAAAGTTCATGCTAGCACCCACCCCATTAGACTTCAGCCTTTGCCCTCAGCCCTGCGTCTCCTCACTCTCCTCTGCTCCAAGTCTGTTTTCCTTGGACCCTCCAATAAGCTAACCTATGGGAGAACCTGTGTGACACTCTTATTACCACTACAGAGGAGACTGAGGCTTGGGAAGGTACCCACATGAGAGTAAGTTCCAGAGCTGTCCCTGAGCCCAAGCTCTACAGCCCACATTGTGTAGAGCAGCGGTCGCCAACCTTTCAGACCTCACAGACCACCAGTAGTCCGCGGACCACCGGATGGCAACTGCTGGTGTGGAGGACAGCCACAGCTGGGATGTAAGGATAGCAACCATGGCTGCCATCAATGGAGCGCCCATTCTGGGCCCTGCTGAGCACTTCAATGGATAACTCATGGGATCCTCTCAATAGCTCTATAAGGGAGGTACTTCTCCTCCTACTCTGCCATGCTAAAAGGGAAGATATCATGTGCTCAAGGTTACACAGCAGGTTATGAACAGAACCAGGACTTGGTACCCATTTCTGCAGATTCCAAGTCCTCCCTCAGCTATTCCAGAGTCCAGTGATTCATATCAATTCATTGAATTCTCACAATTCAACCAGGTGTATACTATAATATCCATTTTAAGAAAAAGACGTACAGAGAAATTAAGTCACCTGATCAATATCCATAAGGAAACAGACCCACAGAGAAGTTAAGTCACTTGATCAAGGTCACAGCTGGTCAATATAAAAATAATTATTTTCCCACTAATTGAGCACTTGTCATATGCCTTTCAATAAGTGCCTAAAACAGGGATCAGGTGCTCAATAAATATTTGCTGGATGAATGAGCACTTTACCAAGTTATCTCATTTAGTTCTTCCAAAGCCTGATACCCAGGATGCTCCAGCAGCTGGTTGCCTGCCCACACACCCACCAGTTGGCTCACCTTCCAGTCCCAGACGTTGAGTACCATGTCGTGCTGATAGCCCATGGACACAATGTGCTTCATATTTGGGGAGAAGGACACACAGGCCACGCCGTACTTGTGGCCCAACATCTCTGCCACCTGACTCTTCTCATCCACATCCCAGATTCGCACAGTAGGCCTGTGCCCGTTCTAGGAAAGGTGGAGCTGTTAACTGCTGCTGGCTTCAATAGCAAGCAGGGCTAGAAGGGCTGGCAGGGCTGAAGATAGCACTGCCCCAGGGTATGCCCCAAAGCTACCTCCCCTATCTGCCAGGAGGCTTTTGTGGCCAGGAACCAGCTATTCCAGGGACTCCCCAGGCCTGTGAAGACAGAAGGAATGGCCCCAAGACACCTCCCCACCTACTCAATCATGATCACAACTCACCTCTCCCGTCACTATGTACTTCCCATCAGGGGAGAAGGCCAGAGAGCTCAGAGACTTCCTGAGGGCAAGGAAAAGGATTGATATCACTGGTTCCACTAAGGGTGGGAAGCCAGACCCAAGCCTGGCTGAGCTCACAGCACATTGCCCACTCCTCGCTCCTAAGCCTGGAGAGGCCAGGAGAGGTGAGCACCAGCAGCTCCCACAGAGCCAGTGCTGCCTATGTGCCCAGCACAGCACATGATGCATTCCTGCATTCCCTGCTGCTAGGAGCATAGGGAAATGGGGTTCTATAAAAGCAAAGGTCCCTTCTCCCTTAAACTCCAAACTCAGATGGGGTGGACACTGAATGGGGACTTTCCTTCCTCTCCCTCTACAACAGTGGGCTTCCTAAGACCCCAGCAGCCCTCTAGTCCTGAGAAATTCAGATGCGGTAAATGGTACAGATCTGGCCTAACTATGGAGGTGGTGCTGAAGGGAGGACCCTGGCAGACAATCACACTGAGACAGCCACAGCATGTGCTCCACTGCTAATTGCTCAAGATGTTCTGGAAAACCTGTTGCCAATCAATATGCTTCTCTCTGATACTCCAAGATAGCCAGCACAATGGCTGAATAATCAGACTAGTTTGCACATTTTTTTGTAGCAAGTTTCATTGCTCCAAGACTGCATTGGTTTTTTCTCTCTCTTTTTTTTAATGCTGTTTTTACATCTCTTCCTTAACAGTCTAGTAGTTGTCTCCCTCACATGAGTAAACTGGTGTGCAGATAACTAAGTAAGTCTTTCAGTAAGTCTCTGACAATCTTACAGAACATTTATCATCAACTCAACCCTCTGATTGCTTCCCATTGTTCCTACAGCAACAAAGGTAATCTGGCTTCCTAATCGCAACTCACCCCTCCTTCCCCACTCACAGAATATCAGTTTTATTTGGGTTGGCAATGTCTCCAGCTAGAGTACATTTCCTCACTCACTTGTAGCTACACAGGTACAGCTACATGACTTAGTCTGGCCAATGAGAGGTGCTGTTGCAATTTCAGAAAAGCTTCTCGAAGGGAATTCTGTCCTGCTCTCCACTTGTTCCCCTTCTGAAGAAAGTACATACAGCCAGAACTCCATCTTGGGTCAAGTGGTGACTTCAAGAACAGAAGCCTCACAATAAGCATGGTGGAACAGAAAGACAGAAGTGGGGTCCCTAATGCTCACAGAGACACCAGTCCCCTGGGTGTCCACCTCCACACTTATGTGCAGGAAGAACATGCCCTTGTGTTTAAACCATGTTCGTTGTGGGTTTTCTATTGTCTGCAAGTACTCCTGACTATCAATGTGTCCTGACCTTGTGCCCAGCCCTCTGTCAAATGCTATATGGGCATCAGTACACTGATTTCTCACACACATTCCAGAAGTCAGGACACTCATTAGTCAGTTTTGAGATGAGGGAACTTCAACACAGGGAAGTCCCCTGCCCAAGGACACCTAACCATACAGGGCAGAGCCCTGGACTGTAGGCCAGAGGTTCTCAGTCTTGGCTGCATGTCAGAATTCCCTAGGGAGCTTTTTAAAAATGTCAAAGCCATGCTAAGACTAGTGAGTAAAAGTTTGGTGAGAAACAGGGTAATATCTGCAAAGTTTCAGAGAAGCACCCCTAAGGGGAAAAGAGAGGCTTCATAATGGAGAAGCCTGGCAGACACCACCTTAATTAAGGGCTCAAAGTGAACACCACCAGCCATGAGAGAGATCAACATCATGAACTTCCTGATAGAATGTACTGAGAGGAACACAGCATTCTTTCTGAGGTGTTCCTGACAAAGATGTAGACGTGAATTTATGTATGAGGAAACATCAGACAAACCCAAAGGTTGGCATATTCTACAAATTACCTGGCTTGTAATCCTCAAAAGTGTCAAGGTCATAAAAATCAAGAAAAGATGGAGGAACTGCTTCAGACTGAAGGAGACTAAAGAGACAATGATAAGCAATGCATAGTTCTGGACAGAATCCTTTTGCTATATATAAAGGACATTCTTGGGACAAATGGTGAAACCTGAATGAGTAGTAGATGGTAGTAATGTATCAATTTTAATTTCCTGATATTGTTGAATGTATTGCAGTTTTAAAGGACCACATCATTCCTCCCCGCCCAGGAAATACAAGCCGAAGTATTTAGAGATACAGGGACATCATGCTTCCAATTTACTCTCTAATGATTCAGAGAAAAATTAATATATATATAGACAGAGAATGATAAAGCAAATGTGATAAAATGTTAACATTTGGGGAATATGGGTAAAAGGTTTACACACACTCTTTGCACTAGTCTTGTTAAGTCTAAAATTATTTTAGCCCTGGCTGGTGTTGATTAGTGGTTAGAGAATCAACCTGTGCACCAAAGGTGGAGGGTTCGATTCCCAGTATAGGGTGCATACCTGGGTTTCTGTTCAATCCCTGGCCCTGGTGGGAGCATGTGTGGGAGGCAACCAATCGATGTGTCTCTCTCACACTGACATTTCTCCCCCTCACCCCCATATCCTCCCTCCCTCCTTTCCAATCTCTCTAAAAATCAATGGAAATAATATCCTCAGGTGAGGATTAAAGAGTTTTAAAGTTCCCAATACCCATGCTTCACTCCAGGCCAATGATTAGGCCTTCTCTGGGAGTGAGGCCCAGGGGTCAGGTGACTCTGAAATGCAGCTGGGTGAAAACCTCTACTCTTAGGAGGCCACACCGCCTCCTAAGACAGACTCATCAGTGGTTGAGAGTGGACCCTTTCCATGCCATTTGTTGGGTGGCACAGTGATCAATCAACCCAAAGGCAGACCCCTGGACACCAACATGGGCCACTCAGAGCTAAGGGCCTTCCCCAGTAACCTAGCAGTTAGAGCGATCTTTCTAAATCACATTCATTCATTCCTGAAATAATAAGTGCCATCAATGTGCTAAATACTGCTCTAGGTGAAAGGGACATAGAAATTCACTAAGAGAAAATCTCTGCCCTCAGAGAACTCACACTATGGAAGGGAGACAGACAGTAAATATCATTAGTGAGGAAATTTTGTTGCATATTGAGAAAGAAGTACCTTTTGTGGAGAAAAGTAAAACAGGGAAAGGAGACTGAGGGTGCTGGAAAGTTAGGGTGTAAAAAGCATATCCTTAACCTATAAATAAATGCCCTCCAGTGGCTTCTCTTTGCAGTCAGTATCCAACCCCCTCCCTAAGGCCCAGGTGATGTGGCTTCTGTCTGTTCCTGCCTTATCTCCCCCCACCCACACCTCTATTCCAAGCACGTGGATCCTTGGCTGCTCCTCAAACAACCCGAGGTTCTTAGACTTTGCCCTCTGCCTGAAATACTTTTCCCTCACCTTCACATGGGTTTCCCCCTCACTTCCTCCAGGTCTCAACCTCAGGAAGGCCTTTCCAGAGCTCTCTGATATGGCTTATCCCCTACTCTCTGCCTATAAACCTTCCCTAACACATCCCTTGTCATTTCCCCATAGCAATGGTCACAGCGGGCTTGCTAGCCAATTGGCTTTAGTCTGTCTCCCTCTCTGAGCTGTCAGCTCTACAGAGAGCAAAGATTCTCATCTCTTTTGTTCACTGTTGTGACCCCAGCACCTGGGATAATACCTAACACAGAGCAGACACTTGGTTAATGTTGTTGAACTGATGGGTGAGTGAATGAATTAGTCACCTAATCATGAGCACTTCCAGGGTTCCACTCTTGCCCATGCCCAGGCCCCAGCCTACCTGGCAGTGTTAAAAATGTGCTGCTGCTTGTTCTCCTTGGGGTCCAAAATCACCACCACACAGCTGAGGAGAAAGAAGAAAATGTGCCCAAACTGAGGGGAGTATTGGGGTCCAGGGATATTCTGTCCCCAACAGAAGAGAGCTCACACATAAAAAAGGCTCCCTCTGAGCAGAAGATTCTCTGTTTACCTCCTCTTTCCAGATGTCTATGCTGAGAATTCTAGGGCACTTCACATTTATCATTAAAACATTCTTAAATAGAAACCAACACTTCCTCTGTGGTAATTATCCTTCCAGGCCCTGGGCTAATAAAGACTTGTGTGCACGATCTCTTTAAATCCTTACAACTGCCAGAAAAGGTCAGGAATCTTCGTCCCATTTTATAGAGGAGGAAACTGAAGCCCAGAGAGGGGAAGTCCTTTGTCCAGGGCTATCCAGTAGGTCTGGGACAGAGTGGGGATGTGAATCTATACCTGTCAGATTCAAAAGCCCGCCCCTGTCCTTTATCTTGGATTGCTTACTTCCCCAAGACTAACAGATTCATGTTCATTAGTAATGACTATGGGTCTGCCCTGCCCTATGAGGGTTGGAGGGGCGGGTCCCTTTGGTGCCCAGAACAGTGTCAGACTAGATTGGTATTTGTGCAATATACAGTTGCACAATGTCCTTCAGTACTCTCAACAATCCAAGAGGAGGGTATCACTATTTCTGTTTTATAACCATAGAAGCAGAGGCTCAGAGAGGGGCACATGGTGGACCTAGGACACAAATCCAGGTTGTCTGACATGGCTTGAGTTTTAATCACCTGTCTTTCCCATAATCACTGCCATCTCCCACCTGCAGTCACAATAAGGCTTTCATAGTGCTCACTACATGCCAGGTACTGTTGTAGATACCGATGGAATCTTCTCCACAGCCCTCAGAGGTAGGGAACATTATCTGCATTCTACAGATGAAAAAACCAAGGCCCATCCACTCACCCTGCTAGGTAGGCCACGCGGCCTGTGCTGGGGTCACAGGTTAGGCCACTGCTGTTCTGGGCTGTGATGCCAAGCACCTTCTCCAGTGACACCTGCAGGGGGAAAGCCCAAGTCAAAAGCACTTACCCTCAGCAGGTCCCATGTGACACAGCCACCTCAGCCACCCATTCTGTTCTTGTTATATTCAACACACTCACTGAGCTTCTAAAGGGTGTCCCAAAATTCACGCAAGATTTGAATTTTACGCCATTTGTGCCGTAAAGTGTTGCCAACGAAAAAAAAAGATAGCGTGACAGCTGACAGTTCAGGGTTATTAAAAATGGAGCACTACACAAAAGAACAACGCGTTTTCACTGCTGAGCGATATTTTAAAAATAATGAAGGTTTGGCAGTTACAGTTTGCAATTTTCGTGCAAAATATGGTCAGAATAGTGATTTAACTTCATCAACTGTGAAGAGATTAATTAAAAAATTTAAGGAGACTGGATCAATTAGTGATCTTAAACACTCTGGCCGTCCTTCAAAAAGTCGTTCAACACAAAACATTGAAGCAGTTCATGAGAGTGTTGCCGAGAATCCAGGGACATCAATTCGGCACTGTGGTCAAGAATTGGACATTTTGAGAAGCTCTCTACAGCGTATTCTCACGAAAGGTTTGCATCTTCATGCTTACGAAGTTCAATTGACTCAAGAACTGAAGCCTACTGACCACGCACAGCGAATAGAGTTCATTGAATGGATTATGGAACAACCACAAGTGGATACTGAAATTCAGCCACATTTATGCAAAACGGTCATGGAAAATTTCAACAAGAGTGCGTATGTGCCAGCAAAGCCATGGAGGCCATTTACCCGATATGCTATTCCATACATAACCCTATACTGTATACTTTATGAATCAATAAAAAATTTACACCTTTTAATTATAAACCTGTGTTTTCTATCAAAATTACTTCTTGCGTGAATTTTGGGACACCCTTTTATCATCATCTACCAGCAGCTAACATTTGTTTTCCTCAACATTCCTTTGACAAATACACAGGGCCAGGTTAAAGGCATAGCATGGTAAGGAAAACACACAAAAATCCCTGCCCTTCTGGAGCTCACATTCTGGTGGTGATGGGATGGAGGACATTCCAAAAAAATAATAGAAAAAATATGCAAAATAGGTATCAGGTGATGATAAGAGCAATAAAGAAAAAGCAGGAAAAGAAACTGGGAGCACAGGGTTAGGGAAGAAGGCCTCACTAAGAAGGTGACCTTTGAATACATTTTTAAGTATTTCATGTGGATGCAAGACTTGAAACCCCAAAACAATTCAAGGAAGAAGGCACTATTATCAGCCCTGTTTTACAGATGAGGACATTGAGGTCCAAGGTCCCACACCAGCAGAATGACAAGCTGGAGATACAAACCCAGATAGTCTGGCTCCAAAGTCAGCACTTTGAGCCATGCAGGGAAGACACAACAGTGAGCAAAAGTGAACACTGTCCATTCCCTCATCAAATTTATAGTATAGAGGTTCCACAAGTAAAGAAACAAGTGAACAATCACCAAACAAGGAAAATAAATGACATCAATTACCCAAAATTCACAATCATAACAGTAGTAGCTAATACTAACAGAGTTTTTGCAATGTACCAGGTGTTGTTTTAAGTGCTTAAGATATATGAGCTCGGCATGGATGGAACTGGAGAGCATTATGCTAAGTGAAATAAGCCAGTCAATGAAGGAAAAATACCACATGATCTCACTCATTCATGGATAATAGAGACCATTATAAACTTTTGAACAATAATAGATACAGAGGCAGAGCTGCCTCAAACAGATTGTCAAACTGCAGCAGGAAGGCCGGGGAGGGTTGGGGGGCAGGAGGTAGGGGGGTAAGAGATCAACCAAAGGACTTGTATGCATGCATATAAGCATAACCAATGGACATAAGACATTGGGGGCCGAAACCGGTTTGGCTCAGTGGATAGAGCGTCGGCCTGCGGACTGAGGGGTCCCGGGTTCGATTCCGGTCAGGGGCATGTACCTGGGTTGCGGGCACATCCCCAGTGGGAGATGTGCAGGAGGCGGCTGATCGATGTTTCTAACTCTCTATCTCTCTCCCTTCCTCTCTGTAAAAAATCAATAAAAAAATTAAAACAAAACAAAACAAAAAAAAAACCAACCCTTTAAAAAAAAAAAAAAAAAGACATTGGGGGATAGGTGAGGCCAGGGGACTATCTAGGGTGGGGGGAAAAAATGGACACATATGTAATACCCTTTGTAATACTTTAAGCAATAAAAAAAAAAAAAAAAGATATATGAGCTCACTTAATCCTCACAAATACTCTCTAACATAGTGGTCTCAACCTTGGCTGCACATTAGAATCACCTGGGAATTTTTTTTAAAATCCTGATTTCTGGGCCCCATCCTCCGGAAATTCTTTCTTTGTTACTAATGATGAGGCCCAGAAATCAGGATTTTAAAAAGATTCTCAGGTGACTCTAATGTGCAGCCAAGGTTGAGAACCACTGAGGTAGACTATGGCAAACAGCCCAGACTCACCAAACACAAAGGCTAGGAAGTGGGAAAGACCTTGGTGCATCAGAAAACAGACAGCAGGGGAGTGAGATTGAACCTTTTTATGAGGGAGGATGGAGGTACCACCAGAGAGGTGGATAGGGGCCACGTGCCCAGGCCTTGCAGCCAGGAGTGGGTGATACAGCAGAGTGCAGCTTGTATCCATCCTTTATCGGGACTCTGTGCCAAGCAGGTCACTTCACAATTTTATTTCATCTCCCTGCAACTCCATGGTATGGTTACTGTTATAAGAACAATTTTTTTTAATATATTTTATTGATTTTCCACAGAGAGGAAAGGAAAGGGATAGAGAGCCAGAAACATTGATGAGAGAGAAACACCGATCAGCTGACTCCTGCACACCTCCCAGTGGAGATGTGCCCGCAACCAAGGTACATGCCCTTGACCAGAATCGAACCCGGGACCTTTCAGTCCGCAGGCTGACGCTCTATCCACTGAGCCAAACCAGTTATGGCTAAAGAACAATTTTTAAAATTGCTGCTGTGCTAATGGAATTCCCTCTACCTACTCTAAAATTATCTTTGTTCGTGTGTCTTAGAACTTCTGTAAGCCTCCCTCCAAGTAGCGCTGCTGAGATATTACAATTACTCACATCCTCACCATAATTTTGGGTGTCTATATGGAATAAGAATCCCACCTTGGTAAAAGGGAGAATGGAAGAGAAGGCGGGGGGGGGGGGGGGGTGAGGGAAGGCGGGGTAGAGCTGAGGAAGAGTTGGGGCAGCTCAGGCGGGGCGAGGTCAACAAAAGTGGAAGGGCCCAGAAAGACGTCTAAAGCCCGAGGGAAATCGCATGCAGGAAGGTAGACACCAGGGAGGAACCCAGGAATGCTCCCAGGGCTGAGGGTGGGGTCAGGGTATGAGGAGGGGCTAGGAATGACGGCGTACCCGAGAGAGGAGGAGATGGGAAAATGGGAGGAACCTTGACGAAAGGGGCGGGGCTTAGGAACGGGACGGGGCCAGAGAGTCAAACGCCGGGAGCTGATAGGCGGGGCCAAATATCTAAGGGAAGGGCCTGGGAGGGCAGGGCCAGCGCTCCTTACCCGGTTCTGCACTGTGTCCTCGGGCGCCGTGGGGAGTCGCGTCCGCCGGCGGAGGCAGAGCGCTGGAGAGGGGGGCGGGGAGGACTGGCCTCTCCCCGCATCGTTCCGCGCGTAGCCTCCGGGCCCCAAGGCCGCCATGGTCGCACCGGAGCCGGGCGACCGTTACACCCAACTGCCGCCGCCGCCGCCACGACCCTCTCAAGTAACGAACCGCAGCGGGAAAGCCAGCGCCGCCGTCCATTGGATGCGGTAGCCGCCCGTTTGGCCAATCGCAGGACTGCCGGGCGGTGCTTTTGACCAATGAGGAATAAGAGGCGGAGTGGAGCGTTTGGCGAGGTGGGGCCACAGCTAGATTCAAGCATGGTGGCGCTTCTAGTCTGCGTTTTCATCACTCACTAAAACGTACCGGTTTAAACTTTTACGTGGCCAAGACCAAAACCGCCACATCTCGCTTTTTGCTGCCGCCTCAGGGCAACAGCCTGGCAGCGGCGTCTCCCGGACGTAAGCCAGGGTGGAGCCGAAGCCGACTGATGAGTTGTCGCAGGCTCGGAAGCGCCGTGACGCCATCTCTCCCTGACCTGGCGATCAGATCCGGGTGACGGGGAGGTATTCCTGGTTCCCCATTCACCACGTGACCAGGGTGCAGGTGTGGTAACCGGAAGGGCGGGTAGTTCGCAGGCGCACTCCTCCCTCCCGAGGCGCGAGAGGAAGCACCCGGCTCTGAAATGAGCCCAGGGGAGAGCGTAAGCGGGCGACCACCGAAGTGCTGCTGCAGACCGCGGGAAACTACGGGCTGGACAGCCATGCCCCAGTGCTGCTGGGCTCCGAAATGCTCCAACACTGCCGGCCTGCGGGGCGCCGACAACCGCCCTGTGAGGTTCTACAAGTGAGCGCAGTAGTGGGGCGAAGGTCAGTCCCCATGCGGGCACTTGGTGCAGCTTGCAGGGTTGGCAGGTGAAGAGACGGTATTCTCAGCGTTTCACCGCACATAACAAAGATGCAGATACGTTAAAACAGGGCTGGACGATTAACTACAGGTAGTGAGTGAATGGAGCGGACGGAAGAAGGGGGTGGGGGGCGCTCTGTAGGGAGAAGTGAGGTTGTTCCTGGGTCTGTAAGGAACCACGAACCATCTCCACGAATTTGAGACATCTCAAACTCAAAACATCCGAAACCCAGCTCCTGATCTTGTCTCCCCCAAACCTTCCACAACCTTAGTTAATAGCTTACTCCATCCTTCCTTCCTCAAGACAGAAACCTTAGAGTCACCCTTACCTCTTTTTCCTCACACTTGAGAAAGTAAAAATTAGCTTGAACTGTAAAAAAAATCTGCCTTCGCATTTATTTGGCTGGAATAACAGACACACAAAAAAAGCCGGATGGGTAGTTAAAAGGAAAAAATATTTCTATATTTTATTCAGGGATATGCTGCAGGTGTAAAAGGACACAACTCCCTTTCTTTGACCACTACTCTCTTACTGACTAGGAAATTTTGTTCTCTAAAATCATAGACTATCACAAACTTTGTTGTTTCAAGTTAATGGGTAAGAATGAGAGGAGTTAGGTCACTTTGACACAAGCAGTCTCAATTTACAGTCCCGGTGCAGAGCTCAGGTAAGGTGATTCTGGACACAGCATTCCACCTCTATGTAAACGTTATTATTTCCAAGGGGACAGGACAGACTTGATATTGATCCCTTTATATACAGTTCTACTTTGCATTGAGCCTGGCCGCTTTCATTTACATCTCACCTAAATTTCACCCTTCCCCCAAACCCAATAATAACTATCTTTTCCTTTGGTGAGACTCCCCACAGTACCGCTGGTGTGGAGTCTCCCTCATTGCTGTGGTAAATAAACCTGATGTTGTTGGACTACAGGTTTGTTATTCGAACTGGGCCAGGACATGCTCCTTGTCCAGTCCATTGGCAAATTCTCTTGGCTCTCCCTTTAAAATCTATCCAGAATTGACCACTTCTAACCCCATTCTCTGCCCCACCCTGGTACTAGCCAGTATCACCTCCCTACTGCGCTATTTTAATAGCTTCACTGGTCACCCACTTCCATATTCTGTTCCCCTCATGCAATCACAGAGCCCTCTGTTCACTGTATAAAAGACAAGAGGCTGGAACAGGCAGAAAGCAGGCCTATAAAGCCCTACAGAAACTGGATCCCTGTATGACCTCATCTCCGTCCTGCCCCTCTCAATCTCCTCCAGTGTTATTGGCCTACTTGGTGTTTCTCTAGCCTGTCAGGCACATTGTTGCCCCAGGGCCTTTTTCTGTGTTATTTGCTCTGTCTGGAAAGTTCTTCCCTTTATGATTGTCACTCTATGTGAAATGATACCCCTCTCCCAGATACATACATATTCTTCCTGTCTGCCTTCTGTTTTATTTTTCCCTTGAATACTTATCACTATCTGGCACACCATGTATTTGATCTATTCATTTATTGTATCCCTCACTAGAATATCAGCTCCATGAAGGTAGGGATTTTTATCTGTCTTAGTCTCTGTTGTGCCCTCTCTACCTAGTATAGTGATGATGCTTAGTACATATTTGTTGGATGAATTCGATGAATGTATTTCATATGGGCTCCCCAGGAAACACAGCAGTTCAAGTTCCTTGTGGGACCCTGTGCAGGGTAGGGGAGATGCAGAAGTCTTTAAACCTAAATCAGTGTCTTCAGACTTGCTTTTTAAAATATATCACTCTGCCCTGGCCAGTTTATCTCAGTGGTTAGAGCATTGGCTCATGGACCAAAGGCTCAGGTTCAATTCCCAGTCAAGGGGACGTACTTTGGTTGTGGGTTCAATACCCGGCCCCATCAGGGTGCATGCAAGAAGCAACTAGTTGATGTGTCTCTTTCACATCAATGTTTCTCTCTCTCCCCCACCTACCTCCCTTCCATTCTCTCTCTAAAGATTAATGGAGCCCTGACCGGTTTGGCTCAATGGATAGAGCTTTAACCTGTGGACTCAAGGGTCCCGGGTTCGATTCTGGTCAAGGGCATGTACCTTGGTTGCGGGCACATCCCCAGTGGGGAGTGTGCAGGAGGCAGCTGATCGATGTTTCTCTCTCATCAATGTTTCTAACTCTCTATCCCACTCCCTTCCTCTCTGTAAAAAATCAATAAAATATATTTTTTTTAAAAAAGAAGGCCTTATCTTTAAAAAAAAAAAAAAAAAGATTAATGGAAAAATATCCTCAGGTGAGGATTAAAAAATAAATAAGTATACATATGTGTGTGTGTGTGTGTGTGTGTGTGTTGTGTATATATCCTATATAATAAAGAGCTAATATACTAATTAGACCGAACAGCTGAACAACCTTCTGAGGGTCTTTCTGAACGACCTTCCAGACGAAGCTGGGGCTGCGAGGGCCAGCCAGGTCTGCACCGGGGCTGCTAGGGCTGAGCCCCTTACATGAATTTTGTGCATCGGGCCTCTAGTGTGTGTGTGCGCGCGCGTGTGCATGTGTGCGCGTGCTAATAAAAGAGAAAGATGCAAATTGACCATACCTTTGTGACGCCCCACAGCCTATCAGGAGTGAGTATGCAAATTAACCTGACAAAGATGGCGGGTTAATTTGCATGTGCAGGCACTGAGTGGCTTGGGTCCTGGGGACAGGCATTCTCGGGAGCTAGGCTGCTCTGAGTCTGTAGGCCTGCGTGTAGGCCTGGAGCAACTGGGGTCCCAGAACGCCCCTGGCCACTCTGGGCCTATGGCCTATGCACGCAGGCACCGAGCAGCCAGGGGCAGGGCGGAACATCCCCGGGACCCAGGTCCTCTGAGCCGGCGTAAGCACAAGCGGCTGGGGGCGGGATGGGAACGTCCCCTGCAGTGAACGAGCAGACAGCACTCCCCCACAGCGAGCGAGCAGATAGCAGGGCCCTGCTTGCTCCTGGCTGTGGCAGCGAGGGGCAAGCAGTCCTTCTTAGGGCCCCCACAGAGAGCAGACAGCAGGGCCCTGCTTGCCCCTGGCCCTGGTGGTAAAGGGCAAGCAGGCCCCCACAGAGAGCAGACACCAGGACCTGCAGTGGCATCAAGAAGGCAGGTCCCCTGAGAGCAGAAAACCACAGGGAGCAGGCCTAAGCTGTCAGTAGGACATCCCCTGAGGGCTCACAGATTGGAGAGAGTGCAGGTCTGGCTGAGGGACTTCCTTCCACTCGCCCGCCCCCCCCCCCCGTGCATGAATTTCGTGCACTGGACCCCTAGTCCTATCTAATAATAGACAAACATGGTAATTAACCATACCTCTGACATGCTTCCCATTGGCTAATCAGGGCGATATGCAAATTACCTGTCAACCAAGATGGTGGCTGGCAGCCAGGCAGCTGAAGCGAACAGGAGGCTTGCTTGCTCCAGTGATGGAGGAAGCCAAGGTTCCCCGCCTGCCGCTGCCCAGCTCTGAGCTGCACTCTAAGCAACTATGTTGCAATTATAGAAGCTAAACAATCCCCAGAAACCTGCTTTCAGCCAGCCGGGCCTCAGAGCTGGAGTTGCAACAGTGTTTCAATTATAGAAGCTAAACAAAGCCCAGATACCTGCTTTCAGCAGCCGAGGTCTCAGAGCTGGAGCCAAGCCTCAGAGCTAAAGCCGGCTCTCAGCTCCAGTGACAGCCATAGAAGGTAAATAAACCCCAGAATAAAAAAAAAAGAAAAAAAGGAGAGGTTGGGAGCTTCAGTCACCCGCCAGCCTGAAAACGGCCCTCAGCCCCTCACCAAGACTGGCCAGGCACCCCAGTGGGGACCCCCACCCTGAAGGGGGTGTGACCAGCTGCAAACAGCCATCATCCCCTCATCCAGGCTGGCCAGGCACCCAAACGGGACCCCCACCCTGATCTGGGACACCCTTCAGGGCAAACCAGCCGGCCCCCACCCGTGCACCAGGCCTCTATCCTATATAGTAAAAGGGTAATATGCCTCCCAGCAATGGGATCAGCGGAGCCGCGAGGCCTCCCGGCACCGGGATCAGCATGACGGGGCAGCGCCCAAACCCCCTGATCGCCCTGTGGCTCTGTGTGTGACAGGGGGCAAGGCCACAACCTCCCTATCCTCCCTGCTCTGTTTGTGACTGGGGAAAGCGCCCCAACCCCCTGATCAGCCCTGCTCTGTGCCTGATAGGGGGGAGCTCCCCAACACCCTGATCGCCCTGCGGCTCTGTGTGTGACAGGATGCGGCGCCCCAACCCCCACCCCCCACGGGCCCTGCCCTGAGTGTGACAGTGGCGGTGCCCCAACACCCTGATCGGCCCTGCTCTGTGTGTGACGGGGTGGCGCCGCAACCTCCCCATCGACCCTGCCTTGAGTGTGACAGGGGGAGGTGCCCCAACCCCCCAATCGGCCCTACCCTGAGCATGACTGAGGGTGGCATTGCAACCTCCTGATCCGCCCTGCTCTGTGCATGACAGGGGGCGGCGCCCCAACTCCCCAATCAGCCCTGCTCTGAGCCCGACCAGGGGCTGCACCTAGGGATTGGGCCTGCCCTCTGCCACCCAGGAGCAGGCCTAAGTCAGCAGGTCGTTATCTCCCGAGGGTCCCAGACTGCGAGAGGGCACAGGCCGGGCTGAGGGACTCCCTCCTCCCCCCCAGGTGCACAAATTTTTGTGCACCGGGCCTCTGGTATATATATAATCACTCTGGCACCATTTGTTAATTCAGCAATCCTAAGTGTCTCCTAAGTAAGCTCCTGCTAGACACAAAGGATCCTGACAGATCTTGTTGATGTCCTGGCAGAGCTCATGGACAGGCAAGTCGTCAAAATTGAAGAACTAAATACATAACCTGGGCATTACCCATAATCCTTTCTTCTCTTTAGTACCATTGCCCCCAATCTAGTCCACTAAGCCATTCTTTGACTCAACTCCCCAAACACATTCCCATCCTGTAACAATCACAACCAAACCCCTAAAGCATTGACAATCATATATAATAAAAACCTAATATGCAAAGTGTCCAGTTGTCTGTTCAACCAATCAAAGCATAATATGCTAACGATATG